AATCTTAAGTCTGTTACAAACAACAATATTTGACAGATGGTGTTTTTGATCGTCATGCGATTTTGTTCATAACCCACTATCGGCACATCCTACTTGATGTATTACTTTTGTCTTATAATATTACAAAAATAAAATCTATTAAAATTAGGAAAAATATTAAATGACGAATACTTTCTAGATGGACTATAGTAAGCAATAAAAGATGTAAAAATAATCTAATTTAGTTTTTATTTGTTAGTTAAGTAATCGTACAATTTTGGAAATTTGTGTTTATGTTAATTAATTGACATTTAGTGAAAAGTAATGTTTCTTGTAAATTTATTGATAAGTTGTAGCGCCCATTCTGGCTGATCTGCTGGTACCAAATGACCAGCGTTCCTAACCATAATTTCCGTTAACTTTCCAGCTGTTTTCGCGTATCCAGCAACCACTTGTCTATCAGCGTCATCATGCCATACAATTCTTTCTGCTTTTTCGTAATCATCGGATCCCGGAAATTTAAGCTTTTGTAAATAGTTAACAGTCAAAGCATAAGGGATCATGAGATCTGTTTGTCCACTGTAGATTAAAACTCTATAGTATTTCAAAAGTTCTGCGACTTTCCATGCCTCTGATTTAGGGAAGTCTTGTGCAAGGTGATCGTAAACTTCGTCCGGTCGATTAAAATCAGTGTTGCCCACATGAATTGCTTTTCTAACCTCTTCTTTACTGAAAAATTCATTTAAGTCGGTTTCATCTGCATGACTACGTTTAATTGTCAAATAGTTATATATGTCTATTTCTGTAAATTGTTGTATAGTGTCTATGATATCACTCCATAAATCGTATGCTTCATCATATTCTTCTGATTTAATTTCTTCTACAACTAAAAAAAAATAAGCGCCGTTAATAATTGAGGGGGTTAGAAGTAAAAGGGTTTAAGTGCACGTTTTTTAAAAATATGATCTAAGTACAGATTCGCATACTTAAATAGTATTATAACTTGGTGGTAAAATGACTTTAGTATATTTAACCCTACAGTCGCTATCTATCGCCATTACATTTCATTTAATGAAAACAATTAATTGCAGTTTGCATTGGTAGTAAACAGGTTTATGTGCGCTTAAACCGTTTTACCAACAAACCATTTTTAGTATTCTGTAAAAGCACATGTAAAACACAAGGTTATTTTCAAGTAAATAAATATTAAATTTATGTCGAATTTTACAGACTAATTAAGCAATATTTAACGTGCAAGTTGTAGTTATACTTCGGATAACAGCCGAGTCACTGATGGTAAGTAAATTAAATCAAATTACTTAACATGATAAAATTTAGTTTTCGTATGTTATGTAAGTTATATTTTGTTGTAAGTTGAAAACAAAAATGTAAATAATAAAATGTCCACGCACCCGTGGCGGATCTACGGGGAGGGAAAATTGGGAAATTTCCGCCCCTACCAAGGTCCAAAATGAAAGAAATAATTGTTAAAACAAAAATATATTAGCTGAGATGGAACTTAAACCAAATATTTTTATGTCTTTCGGTTGATGTTTCATTGAAAGTTCCCCCCTCTAAAAGAGAGCGCCCACCAAACTTACATAGCAAGTGGCAAGTAGCAAGTAGCGCGCGTCTAGCATGTTACGTAAAATGTAATCAATGAAAACGAATGATTCAGCGCACATCAAAATGACAGTGACGTAATTCATTCATTTCCATTGGTTACATTTTAAGTAACATGGTAGAATGCTTCTCAATTTCATGAATGAACATAACATGTACTCAATGAACTCTTTTTTCAATAAAAAACCAAGCAGAAAATGGACATGGATGAGCCCCGATAAAAAGACAAAAAAAGGAAATAGATTATATCTTAACGAAGAATAGGAACCTAGTAGAAGTCGTATCAGTATTAAATCAGTTTGACCTAGGAAGCGATCATAGACTAATAAGAACAAAACTAATAATTAACAAAAAACTAGAAAGAAAAATATTACATGAAACAAGATACAAATGGACATCTGAAGAAATCAAAAAGAGTAAATTTAATAAAAAGATACCACATGCATTAAATCAAGTTAGCATGCAGCAGATGAACTCCAATGATATTGATGATTTGAATAACCTTATTACCGACCGAAACAGTGAATAAAAGCCTTCTGCAACCAGAAAAACCCAAAACAACATACAATGAATTAGACAAAGAAATATTACAACAAATAAAGATAAGGAAGATCTTAAATAAATTTAAAAGGGGAACCGACGAATATAGAGAACTTAATAGGCAGATTAGAAAAGGAATCAGACAACAAAAAAGAAAAGAAAACGAAAAATTAATAAGAACAACTATTGAAAAAAATAAAATTATGAAATGCCTCAGACCGACACTAGGACGACGTCAGATGATATCATTAAGCGGAAAAGATGAAAATGAACTCACAACTAGAGAAAACATATTGACACGAATAGAAGAATTTTACACAGAACTTTCAAGAACACATCAACAAGATGATGAGATGAGAACAGCACGGAAATTAATAAAAATGTTGGATCAGAAATAATGCCAAAAGTAACAATTTCAGAGGTAACTACAGCATTAGAAAACATGAAAAGAAATAAAGCTGCAAGAGAAGATAGTATTACCACAGATATGATATTAGAAGGAGGTAAGGAACTAATTGCAATTGTAACTCAGCTTGTGGACAGTTGTTTACATCAGGGCAACATCCCTTAGAGCTGGAACAACTCTAAAGCAATTTTATTACACAAGAAAGGTGGTAGTCGAAAATTGGAAAACTACAGACCCATCAGCCTACTGTCATACCTGTTTAAAATACTCACCAAAGTCATAACTACTTGACTAACAAGGAAATTAGACGAATACCAACCATATGTACAGGCAGGTTTTAAAAAAGGCTATTCAACTTCCGATTACCCGTTAACCAAAAAATATGAATAGAAAAATGTAACGAATACAAGTTTCCAGTTTTCCTAGCATTTGTAGACTACGAAAAAGCTTTCGATACCATAGAACACACGGCCGTAATAAACGCAATGCAAAATTGTAGAATAGACAGCAGATATATTAACTTAATAAAAGAAACTATGATCCAAGCTACAGCTACATACCACATAAATGAAAATGAACACACCAACCCTGCACCATTAAACAGGGGAGTCAAACAGGGAGTACTTTATCACCCAAACTGTTCACCTTAGTTTTGGAGGACGTTTTTAAAAACCTAAATTGGAAATATAAGGGAATAAACATCAATGGCCGCTACCTCAGTAATCTACGATTTGCAGATGACATAATCCTGATAGCTACTGACCTACAAGAAATGCAAACCATGCTTTTAGAACTACATACCGAATCTTCTAAAATAGGACTGAAAATGAATTTAAACAAAACAAAAGTCATGCACTCCGAAGACACCGTGACAATAATAAACGATAAAGTTATAGAAAAAGTTGAAGAATATATATACTTAGGACAAAAAATAATACTAAATAGGGAAATTCAAACTGAAGAAATAAAAAGAAGAAGAAAGTTAGCTTGGGCAGCATTCGGTAAACTGAACTATATACTCAGAAATCAACAAATTCAATTACATCTTAGATCTAAAGTTTTTGATGCATGCATTATTCCGATATTAACTTATGCGGCACAAACATGGACAATCACAAAAAAGAATATGAATATACTTAGAGTCACTCAACACGCGATGGAAAGAGCAATGCTAGGTATATCACTTAAGGACAAGAAAACAAACACATGGATAAGACAGAAAACCAAAGTCACGATGTGGTGCAAAAATCATTAAAGTTGAAATGGGAATACGCTGGACATGTAGCTAGGAGCGATCTAAACAAATGGCACAGATCAATTTTAACCTGGAGACCATACCAACACAAAAGACCCAGAGGCAGACCTCCTATGAGATGGACAGATGATCTGAAAAGGACTGCCGGGAAAAATTGGCTACAAGTAGCGTACAATAAAAAACAATGGAAAGGAAGACTTGAAGAGGCTTATGTTCAGATGTGGACGTGAATGGCTAGACGAAGAAGAAGAAGAACTAGCTGTTGTAATGGATATAATTAGACACCTCGAAGTGGTGTCCTTTTTAAATTACTAAAGATATTTCCTGTTTTCTGTTTCTTTTTGTTTTATTTGTCCCAAGAGACTCATGACCTTTTGTTTCATATTTTTGTAGTTGTTCCAATCCAACCCCTTTGCTATTTACTTATCCACGACCCCAGCTCTCCTAACAAACCCTGAGTGCCGTTCGCATATGTTTCGATTATTGTGCTTGCCCTATCTCCAACCTAATAATTTACTTTCCCCAACTTTCAACCCCTTATATTAATATCCCATGTGGTAGGCAAAATACTTTCGTTACTAGGTCTAGATCCGCCACTGCTACGCACCAGCACTACGGTTTTCTATTAAGTTGAACATTTCGTATTTGTTGCAAAAGAATCCGATCCTTTTCAAACCGTTGAGGATTCAGATTATATACAGGATAAAGAAGAACAAGCGGATGAAACATGCGGGGTTAACTGCAAATAACTTACTTAAAATCATAAACTAAACTGATCTGCTTGGCTAACACGTTGTCTATTGGTGGATTGGAATTGTCGGCTTTTGCATTTAAAACGAGAATGGACCTGTTGATATTTGCATCTAATCTGAATTTTTGGGAGCCTATAATTATCGGATATGTCGGGATTTGCTTGATAAATATATAATGGACTTATAGGTATATGTATTTTAAATTCTTATATCTAATAACAAAAGTTTTGAAAGAATTGTGACTTGTCATGTCTAGGCGACTGCTATATGGAGTGTGACCGCAGTTTTGGTTTAAATTACGTCTAAATATATCAGTAAAGTATATTAAATTTTAAAGTAGCTTAGTCGAATAAAGCAACTAACTTAAAGTAATATTAGAAGAAATGTTAACCCATTTCTGCAAGAATATCCTCTTTTTCTGAATTATTTAAAATAATAAGGTAAGACGAACAGACGAGAGAGAACAGGAACCACCGACGATTCTTGAAGTAAAAAATGAAGTTAAAAAACTAGCCACAAACAAATTATTTGGAATAGATTATCTCCCAGTTAAACTATATAAAGCAGGTGGCAACGATACTATAATGGCATTACAGCAGCATATATATGAAATTTGGATTCAGAAATCGCTACCTAAGGATTGAAATATAGGAAAATTTTGCACCTTTCACAAAAATGAGATATCTTTAACCACAGTGGAATTATGCTTTTAGTACGTATACAGTATGGTCGAAACGAATGGAATAAATTCGTTATTTCGTAAACCGGAGACTTTAAGGAAAAATCCTGAAACCCGTCGATTTTTATTTTTAAATAAGCTATTCGTAAGAATATATTTTTATTTTTGACGTCATCTATTTGAGCGTGATGACGTCATTGCTAAAATTTTTGAATAGAAAGGGGGGTATTGTAATACATTATTTGAAAGGTCTTTTAAATACCTATTCAGCTATATCAATATGTCTAAGTAATTAAAGTTTGTAATTGTTTAAAAAAATAATTAAATTTTTATTATTACAATAAATATTTATTAAGTATTATTCAATAAATACAACGAAACCTAAATTAAGTGCTCAAATTGTTTACCTTCAGCTAAAATACAATGAGAAAGGCGTGCCGCGAACTCTTCTCTAACATTCTCTAAAACTTCCGGAGTTATTTGAACAACCTCATTACGTATTCTTTCTTTCAGTTCATTAATATTTTGTGGTCTATTTTGATACACCTTACTTTTTAAATATCCCCATAAAAAGAAATCAAGAGGAGTCAAATCAGGTGACCTAGGCGGCCATTCTATTGTTCCTCTTCGA